GCTTGGTCCGCCGGGCCCTGCCCGCGCGACGCTGGCGGCGGCGGGCCGTTCCTTCCCCGCGCGCGCGTTGGGGGGCGCAGGGGCCCCCTGACCGCGGCGGTGCTGCTCGGCCGGCATCGGTGTGGCTCGGCGGCGGTCCTGCTACCTCTTGAGCATGTGTTGGTTTTCCCTTGAAGAGAAAGGGTCATGCAGCAAAGCAGCGTAAGTATTTCCCTCAGTTTTTGAGAACCAATGTATCAATCCAGTAGGAGACCACGCGCGAGTAATCTCGTACCTACACAAACAAATAAGAACTTCGCAACCAACGCGATAAAGGGGTTGTCAAAACCCTTCACGGCCACTTGCAAGAGTGAGATCTGATAGCGATAATAATAATAAGGTAAATATTTTTGGTATTTTTATCAGATAGATTGAAAGTAAAGATTGCAAAATAAAATAGATTGGAAACTTGTATGATGGAAAATAGACCCGGGGGCCATAGGTTTCACTAGTGGCTTCTCTCAAGATAGCATAAGTATTACGGTGGGTGAACAAATTACTGTCGAGCAATTGATAGAATTGAGCATAGTTATGAAATTATTTAGGTATGATCATGTATATAAGCATCACGTCCGTGACAAGTAGACCGACTCCTGCCTGCATCTACTACTATTACTCAACACATCGACCGCTATCCAGCATGCATCTAGAGTATTAAGCTCATAAGAACGAAGTAACGCCTTAATCAAGATGACATGATGTAGAGGGATAAACTCATGCAATATGATATAAACCCCATCTTTTCATCCTCGATGGCAACAATACAATACATGTCGTTTCCCTTTCTGTCACTAGGATCGAGCACCGCAAGATTGAACCCAAAGCTAAGCACTTCTCCCATTGCAAGAAAGATCAATCTAGTAGGCCAAACCAAACTGAAAATTCGAAGAGACTTGCAAATATAACCAATCATACATAAAAGAATTCAGAGAAGATTCAAATATTGTTCATAGATAATCTTGATTATAAACCCACAATTCATCGGATCTCGACAAACACACCGCAAAAGAAGATTACATCGAATATATCTCCAAGAGAATCGAGGAGAACTTTGTATTGAGATCCAAAGAAAGAGAATAAGCCATCTAGCTAATAACTATGGACCCGAAGGTCTGAGGTAAACTACTCACACATCATCGGACGGGCCATGGAGTTGATGTAGAGGCCCTCCGTGATCAATGCCCCCTCCGGCGGAGCTCCGGAAAAGGCCCCAAGATGGGATCTCTTGGGTACAGAAGGTTGCGGCGGTGGAAATAGGGTTTCGTGGTGCTCCTCGATGTTTTCAGGGTACGTAGGTATATATAGGAGGAAGAAGTAGGTCGGTGGAGCCACGAGGGGCCCACGAAGGTGGAGGGCGCGCCCAGGGGGTAGGTGCGCCCCCCTGCCTCGTGGCCTCCTTGTTGATTGCTTGATGTCCACTTCAGGTCCTCTAGATCATGTTTGTTCCAAAAATCACGCTCCTGAATGTTTCATTCCGTTTGGACTCCGCTTGATATTCTTTTTCTGCGAAACACTGAAATAGGCAAAAAACAACACTTTGGGCTGGGCCTCTAGTTAATAGGTTAGCCCCAAAAATAATATTAAAGTGTATAAATAAGCCCATTAAACATCCAAAACAGAACATATAATAGCATGGAATAATAAAAAATTATAGATACGTTGGAGACGTATCGGGTCCCGTGGGCCACGGGTGCACTTGGCACGGTGATGCGGTCGTTGGTCGCGGGCGGCGCGGTGGTGCTGGCGGCTGGGCGCCCGCTCGGCCTAGATCTGGGCCCGTTAGGGCCCGATCTGGGCTGGGGCGGGCCGGCGGCTTGGCACGGCGGCGTTGCTCCCTGGTGGTGGCGAGGTGTCGGCAGTCTACGGGCGGTGCTGGCTTCGTTGGCCGGCGTGCTATAGCATAGGTA